GCCGAAAGGTTGGATGGCTCGTGAGCCGGCCCGAGAGATTGTAGCGATGACGTAGGTGCCGATGATAATTCTAGAGCTTCTGACGTCTCAGTAGGAGTTGCAAGTTCTGATGATGTCGATGATGTTGAAGAATTGAAATTGGTATCTGGGCAATTTCAGGAAGTTGCAGAGGTCCCAGGTGTGGTCTGCAGAATTCGCATTGAAGACTCGGTGAATAAAAAGGTGGAGTCAACGAAATTAGCTCTCCACCGGATTCCAGGGCTCAAGGTGCGAATAAATAGTCAAATCTCGATGTAGAATGGCCACACTAGTATAGTGAATGGCTGTAGATTACCAGAGATAAGTCGTCACGAAGAGTCCGAGCTTCGTAATGGTATAAAGACTGTCTTGGATACGAATTTGGAAGACAGTTGAACAAAGTCAAAGTTTTTGTTCCGAGTGACGCGGTGCGTAAGAGGGTGTGCCTGTACCGCTCAGCGGGTAATACCGCTCACCCGATTTTCTCCGCAACCATTAACTTAAAAATTTCTTTCCGTTCTTGATCATAAAGAATTTAATAATAGGATGTGATTGTCGGAAAATTTTCACTTTATTTATCACTTTAAATATGAAAAAACACGTAACGAAGTTTTGAGGTCTTTACAGTGCAAAATTTGTGGATTTTTAATTAAGGTTATTGATAGTTTCAAACGCTGAATTCTCATATTAAACTGTGGTTATTCGATTCGTGGTACTTTCACACGTAATTTGAGACCAATTCGAACTCAAAACTCCACTCATGTCAATAATTATCAACAATTTTGTTGACGCCAAGCGGAGCCGGTAATACCGCTCATAGGATCGGCCACGTAGTTGCTCGATAGCACTCGAGTACAGGTTAGGTTGCGGCGCGAGCGATACACGCAAAACCCTATGAGCGGCATTGGAATCGTGCCGAGCGGTATTACCCGACGGCGGGTAGTACCGCTCAATAGGCTCTCTTTTATTTTCAATCAATTTTGTGGATTCTAAGGAGAATTAGGCGTCTACACTTCGAGAATAACGAGTTCAATAGTTAAAGAAGTCTCACAAATATGTTTTTTATACTCAAGTTGAAATATAAAATATAAAACTGACATTTACCCTTAGGTGAGCGGTACAGGCACACCCTCCCCTAGTGACCGTCACAAAATTAGGTTTTAGACTGGAAATAAAATTGTCCATATCACTCGCTTATATACGAATCTCCGTGCATCATCTTACCGAAGGTGTGAAGGGTTTCCCGGTTAAAGTGACCCAAAAGTTCCCTCAAAAATGTAAAATAGGTGGATAGTTCAGAGGCATCGCCTGCCTTTTGCTTTCCCCCTTTTTTGAGTACCTAGCGATGCAGTGCATTCAGATTTGATTTCGAGCGTGGACCGTTCTCTTTCGGGGACCACCCGTTGATTCCACGTTTTTATTCCTGCGGTGCATAAATTGGAGGAAATTTAGATTTCCGTTCCACCCATAGATGGTTGGTTTTTCATGTAGTGTTCATATTTTCCATCAGTATTTCATAAGACGGTTTCGTTGGGTTCCTTCATTTTTTCGGTAATAAACTTGATACCTCTGCCGCTTATAGGAGTTTTTAAGGAAACCCTGCGGTGCCTGGTCTCTCCTGTTACTGAGTTTAAAATTGATCTCAGTAATCTATTTTCGGAGAATCGAATAATTATGCATTTCGTCAGAAGATATATCAATCAATTATTGTGCGTACTGAGAATGACTTGCATCGGATGGATAGGAGCTGGGATATTCTAACAGTGGTTTTCTCGGCGTGTTTTTGTGTTACTGCTTTTGACGTAAATACGTCTATGGTTTCATTTTGGGTGGTTATTTGGTGAAAAATTCTTTGTAAGAAGTACCAACTACTGGATACATGCTATACGTCGGTCAATTACCGACGGATGTATATTATCCGATCGATGATAATTATTCGACCAATGGTAATTATTCGACCAATAGTTATTATCCGACCAATGGTCATTATCCGATCAATGGTAATTATCTGACCGAGTGCATCGCTGAAATATTGTGTGAATTAGCAAATCCGCACAATTAAAAAGCAAGTGATAAACAGCAGACATTAGCATCAATAAGAATAAGCTTTTTACATAGTTTAACCCATGCTTCAACGCACAATTCAAAACAGCAACTCTTATTCCCTCATCATTATTTGGGAAATCCCATAGACGTATCGACGTATTAAAACCCTACGGGTGTATCCTTGATACAACCGCCTTCAATTTGTTTTTTGTTTTAAATTTCGAAGTCTTTCTTGGGGACAAAAATATCAGAAAAACAGTTCCACCCTCCAACCACCTGGCTTGTTACAGTCTGTTTTACCGACTTGTTGGTAACCCAGGAAACGCGTCGAAATTTAAATTAAAAGTCGTTTCAAAAGAACGGACCGGAATAAGTTGGAACAAAGACTTCAAGAAAATCGCTATAAACTATATAACATCAAAAAGAATAACATCAAACAGAATGAAAAATCAAATTAATTTTTATTCAACTATCAAATGTCAAAAAAATATTTCCCAATTCTTCGTCACTTATCTATTATCATGTTGACCTTGTGTAGTTTCTTAATCTAAACAAACGTTTCTCACTGGTTTTTCTTCATTTTCCCATTGACATTCATCCGAAAATAAATTAAATAAATATGGCTGTAATGAGAAAATCTTGAGGTGCAAGTTGATTATGTAAAGTGTTCCTCTCGCAAACTGAGACTAGATGGTAAGGCATACATTGAGTAATATTGTCAACAATGATGAGCTGATTCCACGTCTAGAGATGTACAAGTGTCACCACTTTACTGAAGTCTTCCAATCCATAATGACTCTTTTCTCTGAATGCATTATCGACATTCTTTGATGATCATCAAGACCACGTGTAAACATCATTCGAAAATTTCAAAGTTTCTATTACTTGAATGTGTGTGGTGTCAGGGTTGCAGAAATGTGATAGTAATTCTGAATTGAATCCACAATCAGATAGATTCTCTTGTCCAAACACACTCTGTGGCTTTATTTCTCCATTCTCGTCCTCTGAAGGTGATTCTGCAATGGAATGGTAATAACATCACTAATGGAGTAAACAAACGTATACGTAGCCAAGTACTGTTGAGGAGTTTTTTTTAGAATATCAATTTTTTATCGAAACCTATTCGTCATAGATATTTGCAAAAAGATCGGGAATTAGGGAGATTGATAAATTTACCTAAACCATGTTTGGCAGTAGAGAATGCATTGGTCGACGAAAGTTGGGCAAAACTGACGGAAAATTGTTCCAAGTGACTAGATTTCATGAGATGACAGAGAGACGGCAGAATATGGGGCAACAGTGGCCCTTTGATTTCTAAAGAATGGAATTTGTCCTTATCAACTCGTACAATACTCTCCCTCACCTGAAAATATCAAGATTATGGCATATTATGTCATAATAAGTAGGAATATGTATTTATTAGCTGGGAGAGATAATGAGAGAATGTCATGAACTCTTTGGAATTCTTCTCATTCGTGTAACGGGTCAAATTAAATGAATAATTCTATGTAATAAATTATCCTGAGGTTCATTAACACTTTACCTTCAAAGGTTTCAACGTGGCCCCATGAAATGCTATTGGTGCAAGAAGTGTAGGAGGAACTCCAGCCAGTGCTCCAGTCACTGCAACTGCTGACTTACAATTTATCAAAAAATTGAATAATGCCTGGGCTTCAACACCTTTGACAAAAACGAGAGACTGCTTCAATGCATCCACCTCAGCTTCTTTTTCGAACGTAATCCGTTTCTGGGGATGAAAAGATGGTCATTACATTTTCTTTAGCATAAAATAATTTTTTACTGAATTGCTAAAACGAAACATGTCTTCTTAATTACAAAATTATATCCATTATGAGGGATTACATGAAAAAATGTCAAGGGTTTCGTCATTAGCTGCCAATTTTTTAATAGAAAAAACAAGCTCTGAGAATAATTTTCTCATTACCAGGATATAGCGAGTCTACCTGTTATATTGTTAGTGAATTATAGGAACATTTTTTAGTCGTTAAGTCATATACCTGTACATTGTTGATCTTCTTAATTTCTGAATCTTCGATACCTAGACTCTCTAACAAGTCATCTTCTCCATCGTCATCGTCATTTAAATAATAGTCATCATTTAGGGGGTCAGGTGAGACAATGGTATTTGAAGTAGAGTCTAAGGTATCACATCCAGAATCAGTGGTGTCAGATCGTCTCTTTCCTCCTGATCTCAAAGGCATTGTATATTCAATGTCTGCAGAACCAAACAAAGTAAATCAGTTATCTACATCACTATAGAAAATTTTGAAATAATACTGCTCCAACTAAAGGCATATTTACCTTCTTGCTTCAATGCTTGTCTGAATCCTCTCGTAGTGGGTGTCAAAAGTACATGAACTTCGGAAACTCCACAGATTCCAGCAGCTCGAAATAGTGCAGTGAAATTATTAGCACATACGTAAAAAAAAGGACACTGTCTAGCTCGCAACAGGTGAAATAACGAACGAAAGCTCTCACTCCACTCTGAGAACAATGCATCCTTAACAAATTGATTATTCGCAATTGCAGAATTGCTGGCTAAACTGGCACTGACTCTTCCAGCTGCACGAGGGAATAGTTCCAGCCATGGTAAGGATGGATGCTGCCAAACTAGACAACATCTGTGAAACCTGTAAAATTAATAAATTGAAAAGAATTAAATAGAATATCTCAAAAATTTGAAGCCAATTGTCTTCCGCGAATATTTATAACTCTATGCACAATTGAGAAAATTTCCCAAGAACTTGGTTGAAAAGTGAGATGAAACCTAGGAAACAGTTTGGCTATCTCCCTTCAATTCCAAGATATTAAACAGCAACTCAAGTGTGAATTAAGAGCAGCAGTTGAGCCCAAAATGGGCATTTGTCTTATTTTACAAATATCTCTGAAACGATTAGGTTTAGAGGAAAGTTTCACAAGAGCTTAATTATAGTCCATTAAATTTTCTGCAAAAAACGTCTGTACATGAATTTCCTCAAATGCCTTCCTTTCTACGATATTTGCGGAATCATCGAAAAATTCCTGATCAATCGACAGAAATCTGCAAGTTCTCATCTTGTAATCCTCCACTATTAGATGTTTACCCTTCAATTAAATCCCCCAAATTGTAATTTTACTGACCTTGCATTAGGACTAGTATCCAGAGTAGTCTCCTGCTCTCCAATATCCAGACACCTGACAAAACCAGTTGTTCCAGATGCCTGTTCACTAGTTTTTAATTTTCCATTCCAGGGAAAAGGTTTTGACGACATGAATCTCACCTTGGTATTCAAGCTCCAATCGATAGGTACATAAGATACACCCTTGGGACTCTCAGACTCAGCCACATAATTATCTAGACTCTGTAATTTCGATAAAGCACTGGAGAACGATAAACTGGGTGATTCTGACTTCTTGGGTTCAATATTTTCGTCATTCTGACTTGTGGATGCTTTTCCTTTCATCAGTTCGAACAGGACTGAGTCTGTGCTGGCCTCGAGGTCAGGCTCGAGGTCGTCTCTGGATCTTTTTCTCTGATCACTCTTCAGAAATGGATTTTTTCGCTTCTGGGAAGCTGAAGAGGCCAGTTCACTCAGAGGTCCTGTGATGGTGATGTCCAGGGAGGGCTTAGGGCTCCCCACTGATGTACGATTCATTCGAGCTTGGAGTGCACGTTTCCTCATCTTCAAACGATGCAATTGCATCACCTCGTGCGGATGCTTCCATTCTGCTGTATCTGATGGCTTTGGATCTGTCATTTTACTATTTTTCTCGAATATTGTCATTCTAAAATCACAGAGGAAAGTCAAGAGGAGTAGTGAATGACGATTGAGGCTGGTTTTAGGTTATTCCCTTAAAAACGTATGAGATGTTGACTCAAAAGTTGTACATACCAGAAATTAATTGAGTGATGAGGAGGCAGTCATTATCGGGGCACTGATGAGTGATGAAACAAGTTATTATGTCTTTATGTGATCGATTTAATTGATGAAGTTGTCAGTGTAGCGCGTCATAACAACACCTGGACGTGTATTTCAACCGACAGCTGGATCGCCAGGGAAGGCATGGAAGTCTCCATAAACTCCCTAGAATTCAAATTTATTACCAGAGTTATTTTTTCGGCCGGAGAAAAATTAGAAAAATACTGGGGCAGATAAATATTGAATTGCAGAGTATCCCATAAGGGAATTAAGGGAAAATGCCAAGCACTAGATTATACATAATTAATGTAATCAAGTGTGTGAAGGAGACGAGTAAACAATACCTCTTCGAGATCTATTTCGTGGAGGCACTTTTTTGTATGTTCTATTGCTTGCTAATATTTTTTTTACTTTGTGACAGTAAAATTTCTGACGCAAATTTGCAAAATGGTCTTCGATTCGAAGATACGGATTAATGATAAAACTGACCTCAGAAAACTCATGAGTCTTTAGTAGACTCATTTTACTTGAAAAGTCTTTCAAACTAAAATCACTTTTTTTCAGTAATTACGAAGAAGTTTTTCCGTTCATTTCGAAACAAGATTAAAAAAATGAATTTGTAAGTGAAAAGAAATATTGAAGTCAACTTTTTTTGTCCTTCCCATCCCTTATATTAAGGGAACAAGTGGGAAATGCTTTTTTATTAATATAGCATTTTTTTTTATAAATTAGCAATATGCTTCCGAATATGTAGTATATAATTCATCTTTACATATCATTATATTAAATTCAATGAAAATTCTTCTTGAATTAATTGTCTTATATTGATAATGCAGGTCAATATTTGATGGAATTTCAAATATGAAATAATATATATCTATACCATCCATTTATTGAATGAATGTGAAGTCAAAGTTGATCGCTCTAATGATAATTGAATTAATTTTAACCTTTCTTTTTTGAAAAAATAATCAGTGGAAGTAAATTTTCCGAAAGATGGCAAATCAACAAACGTTGGAATGCTATGAGAATAATTTCCGAAATTACTATATGAATGGAATGGAACAATGATGCTATCTATATTATGGAATGATTTTGAAACATCATATTTGAAGAACCCATCAGAAAGTTCACCTTCAAAGCAATTTACGAAAAATTTTGAATTTACAAAAATCATCATAAAATCAAACCAACATCTAATCAAGGTACTGTAACGATCTTTTAACTTCAATAAAGTGGTTTTGAAATTAGTATTTCCAGCTATCATTGAATTAATTTGGAGTATGATATCGAAAGATATCCTCGAAATTGCAATTTTCGTAAAATACAAAATTTTTCAAAATTATTCTAATAATCAAAACAACGATTACAGCTACCACCTTCATCTTCGAAGTCGGTTGAAAAGACATCCAAAGAAGTTTTTGAAGCCATGATTCAGTTAATTCAGAACATTTTTTTACTTATGATGGAACAATCGATTTTTTTCAAATTACAAGAAAAAATTCAAAAATATAATATGTGGATGAAATTTTAATTCACGTCGATCGATAAGGCTTAATAATACCTACATTAAAAAAAATCAATTCCATTGATTTATCAGCAAATAATTAAAGAAAAAATTTCTTACATACATACATCATACATACGAACGGGATCTAAAAATGTCATATTCGGACTTTTTCGATCATAATAGGTTGATATAACAAAAAATTCGAAACTTAAATTTGAACGCTTACAATGCTTTCATTCGCAAGCAAAAAAGATGGAATTTGATCTTTTCCATATTCCAAGGAAACTATCTGCACAAAAATTATACCAAAAGTGAGATTATCCGCATCAAATAAGATGAAGAAATAATCCAAATAAATTGGTAAAAAATAATTCTCCGTGACAAAATAATTCCTACACTACGTGAATGATTCCGCAATATTGACCAATTATTTACGTTTATTGTGAAAATTGTTGATGGAACGGAGGATAAATTTTACAGTTTCGGCATAAGTAGATTCAGTAAATTTTTCCTAATTAGCGAAGAAAAATTGATTATTCGTCTTAGACTTTTCTCTCCAATACAGGGTGAAAAAGACCTAAAAATGGATTCCACCCTACGATTATTAACGTTTAGCAATTTTTCTCTAACTTTTTTCTCCGTGTAACCCATGAGCACCAGAAACTCTGAAAAGTAAAAATTCTTCTAATTATCAAATCATAAATCAAAATCATCTTATAACAAATAATTTTTTTACTAGAGCAAATAGAGAATAAATTTTATAAGATACTCCATCAAACGCAGAAAATATATTCTTTTTCAATCACTCACTTGAAATTATCAATGCAAAATTTCTATTCCCTTCTTGAATGTTTTATGATTTTTTTGTCGATTATACTGAGAAATAAGGTTTGAATGAACATTTTTTCTTTTTTTATTCATAAATATCAATAAAAATTCAAGCAATACTTTCACTTTTGATTGTCATCATTCTCTGATTGAATTCTACAGTAACATACGGCAGAGTGAGAAAAAGTGACTAATTCGTTGATCATCCTAGACAATTTTTTCGTGCTCCGAAATCCAGTCAAATTATATGGATTTACATCTTTAGATCAGCAGTTATTTTCCCCGATTCATACCGACGTATACAAAATATAAAAATTAAATTTTTTCAGGCACATTTTAATTAGAGTATCCTTCATAAACATTATACAACGGCATATCCTTCGGGGCTAGTGTGTCGTTAAAGTTAAACGGGTGGAGATACAGAGAGCTACGCGGAGCTGAGTGTGGCCACTAAATGTATGGGTGCCTCAATATTTCTGGTTCGTTCGACTTTGAGTTCTCCATCCAAGAAAGACAATTGATTTATTTCAAGATGAATTTCATAGAATATCGAATCAATAAGGTGGTTTGTCAGATCTGTCTATCACGGCTGATCATGAGAGCAAAGTTTTCAATGTCGATCCGACGTTTAGCAAGGCGTACGCGGGAGTTGGACATTTTTTTTCAAATTATTAATTATTTACAATTCAGTAAGGAATAATTTGTATCTTCTGTCAATGCCACATATCGGGAGCGCTCTCTCGGATCACGCAAGTAGTTCGTTAATTGAAACAAATTTGATTGGCAGAATTATATGTTTTTCTCAGTGCAAAAGACAGGTGAAATTTATAGAAAACAAAAATTATTCCCTATTGATTCTTCAATAATTTATGATTTAAAATTTGTTTTCTACTTCCCATAGTTTAATCTCCAAGGCCATGTAAACAATTAAATTGTTAATAACAAATAGAACATCGGATTTTTCGAAAAAAAATCCGACAAATTCGAAATTAGCGACCCAAAAATCAGAAACTCCACTCATAAAAATTCACGGACTTCGAAATTGCAACCTATTACACCATTTCCCCTACCATTGAACTATGCAACCCAAGGGGTTGTTCTCTCATATACGAAATGTATACATTATTCATTAGACAACACAGTGCTCGTGCCATTTGACCATGTCGTGCGACAAAAGTAACTCCCTCTGATACATTTTTTCAACCTATCTTAATGAAAATGGCTTATCAGAGACCAACCAGTAATACAACATATTCCAGTTGCACTTTCTTTAAAAAGCATTCAAAGGCATCACGAAATGCAATATTTGCATTAACATCCTAACACAAATAGTTTCACAGTTTGTGAAACAGTAAAATTGTTTTCGGATATTTATTATTGAAGCGAAAGAATAACGAAACAGAATGCTTATATTGGTCTAAGCCTGAGGGTATAAAAATTGTATTTACTCAAACATTCAACCCTGGAACACAGACATACAAAGTCAAGTGGATTTCATTGTCGAGCCATGGGGCCAGTGAAATGCACTCGTGTGTGTATTGTACACAGGAACAAAAAAAATAGACCGAGAAACTGTTGTACAGTATCTCCATTGCGTTTATCGCTGTGTGGGAAGAGCCGCCTGTTGCATTCATCCATGCGGAATTGCAAAAATACTAAATTTTGCCAGGCCCGCTGGGGGCTCACTCTCGTGAAATCAAAGGATGCGGGAGAATGTGCCGGGTGTGTAACCATAAGAAAAATATCCGCGACGAGTCACGCGTGACTTCACGTTAAAATTTGCTTCTCCGCTGTTGCTGAATATTTCTAGCAGTTCGTGAAATTCACCCTGGTAGTTATATTTTATATCACGACGGAATATGAAGTGGCAGCTGCTGAGTCTCCACATATTCTAATTTTTGAGGATGTTGATGGGTAGAAATTTAATAGCGAATCCATTTTTATTCAGTTTCTGCTGAAATAGTATATTTCAGCACGTGTGGGGCAATTTCGTCTTTAACGTGTGTGGGGTTTACAGCATGAGCCGAAGGCGAGTGATGTAACCACGCACGTTAAGGACGAAATTTCCCAACAAGTACTGAACAAAATTTTATGTCACGAAGCCTGAAACCGGCTGAATTAGACACGAGACGCGAAGCGTCGAGTGTGTAATCCAGCCGGTTTCAGGCATGAGTGGCATAAATTCTATTTAAATTTTCCGAATATTATTTTTCGCACCGGACGCTAAATATTCATATCAAATTGTTGAGGAACAATTTCCCTGTAATTTCATGACATGATGTGATAATTTTATGAACAGAATTTAATACTGCTATATTACAAATTCACCCAAGAGTATTCTGTCAGCTTTTATTTTTCCAGGAAAATTGACGGAATTTTACTAGGCTCCTCATAAATTTAGCATAAATATTCAATGAAATTGCGAATTTGTTGGGCTCTGCGGTCGGGTCGCAGAATAAAATTGAATTGTCAAGTCTAAAAAATTGAACGTTTAATTAATACTTTTTTCTATCAAAATGTAGTGGAACGTAGCCGAGGCGGGTCATGGTGGGGGCTACGGTAGCCCGTGTTTATATGGACCGTGAGACAAATCTCCCGTTCAATACAGAACAGGATTGTTAGAACGAGGGGCTATTGACATTCGAATGGACACCAAGATTGAAACGATTTCAAATAATTGCATCCTCATTACAAGAAATATAGCTGTATGATTTCAGTGATGACAATGACTTCAGTGACTTCACCGTCATCACCATTTGTTTCCACCGGAAAATGACAC